ACTTTATTTACATAAATTTAGTTTTAACAGTTCAACAAAAGTGCTAATGCATTAAAATCCGAGTATGTTTAAAAAAAATAGTTTATATAATAAAAACTTAAAAGCAATAAAAGCAAAAACCAACTCTTCATCAACAACTGAACAAACTGTCATTAAAACACCAGCACTGTTTAAAAGCGTCCAAGTCTCCAATGTGGTTATAAAATCTAAAATCTAGCCAGAGTCTTGCTCTAATGTTTACCAGCCACACTGCCTTGGCCTCCTGCCCTTCTCTGTTCTCCACTCTGTTTTTCCTGCTGATGTAAATGGCCATTTTTGCCTCACCTGAAAGGTAGTTAAGGAGCTGCCACTTCTCTTTTTGTTCTTTTTTGTAGGCAACTCCCATAATAAAAACCCTCTCAGTAAAAGCCACATCAAAAAAACTAAAAAACAATGTTAAAAGAGAGAAGAAGCTTGTGAGCCTCTTACACTCTATAAAAACATTCAGTCTCTGGAAGGCAACAAAAAGGACAGGTGACAGTCCGTTTTTTGAGGGGAGGTTTATATAAAATCCTCCACTGTGGGCCGGCTCCATTCGCTCCCAGCCTGTTTGACCACACAGTGGGGGGGCGGTTGCACAATCCGGCCTTGTGGATCGTCTTCACACTGTTCATATACCAGGTTTTTTTGTCAGCTTTGTTTATTGTCAGCTTTTCTGGGTGTGCTATAGCCAGCAGGGGGCCGGTGAGTTCCTCCAGGCCTGGGCTCAGGAAGACGTCAGGGAAGGGGTCTGCAGGGTCCGGTCTGGCCTTTCTTTTCCCATAGTCCATGAGGAGGCTCCTCTCTTTCCCAGAGAGCTTCTGGCGCCACAGCTCCAGGAGCCTCCCCGCCACCCGGACAGAGTGCAGGCCCAGAAGAGAGCCCAGGGCCCGGGCATCACCCAGCGCCGGCCCCACTGCATCCACCAGCTGCTGCAGGCACAGGGTCTTGGTTTTAAGCAGCGCCACCGTCAGGCCGGGGGTGACGCTGCTGCTGATGTCCAGCTTGGCCCTGTGAATCAATGGCTCTCTCAACAACCAGTACAGAGAGTCAGACTTTGGGCACCTTTTACAGTTAAAAAGGGCCCAAGACTTAAAAACACCCTGATAAAACGGAGGCAGCCCACTTCATTTTAAAAGTTTAGAATCAATTCAAAACAGAGCAGCATCCAGCCCCAGGAAATCTGCACGTCTGAGAATGCAGCAGGCCACATCTCTCCACACTAGATCAGCCGGACCTGTCAGATATTTTTGTAAGAACTGTAGTCTGAAGGTGGCTGTCCGGCTGGCCAGGTGGACGAGGCCCTGTCCCCCCTCCTCTCTGGTTAAAAACAGCACCCCTTGTGGCACCCAGTGTAGACCGTCCCAAAAAAAATCTACCATTTTCCTTTGTAAGTGGGCTAGCAAGCCTGAAGGGGGGTCTACACAGGTTAAACGGTGCCACAGTTGGGATGCTACAAGGTTGTTTAAAACCAATACTCTACCTTTAAAAGACATTTGAGGGAGCAGCCATTTCCACTTGGAAAGTTTCCCCTCAATTTTCTCTGTGACGCTCTCCCAGTTCTTCTGGACTATGTGTTCTTTCCCGAGGAACACCCCCAGGTACTTAAAACCATCTGTTCTCCAGGCCAAGCTCTGGGGAAGAACTGGGAGACCGTCACGCCACTCACCGACAGTGAGGGCTTCACTTTTTATCCAATTCACCCTCACTGCCGATGTTACGCTAAAGTGTTTTATAATGTTGGTTAAAATATCTGCATCCCTCTGGTTTTTTATAAAAACAACAATGTCATCGACATAGGCACTTAAAACAATGTTGCTATTAAAACCAGGTAAAACCAAGCCCTGTAAGTGGAATTGTTAAGGAGGGGTTCCAGGGAGAGTGTGTAAAGCATGCCGGACAGAGCACAGCCCTGCCTGACGCCTCTACACACCCTGAAAGGAGCACACAGACTGAAGACGCCGACCGGAGAGACACCGGCAGGAGAGAAAAAGAAAAAACACAAACACAAACACACACTAACAATTAACTTAAAGTGAAAACGTCAACCAATAAACTACATTAAATTAAATCAAATTACCAAAGAAAAACAACCATGAGTCCAAGATGATTCAAATAAGTTGGCTGTGGTTCTTACTCTTGGACAAAGAAGTGGCTGAGGATGCTTTTTCTCACTGCAGCTTCATCATAACCCCCATTATGATGAAGTGCTTTGAGAGGCTGGTAAAGGACCACATTGTCTCCAGACTTCCCCCCACATTCGACCCGTACCAGTTTGCTTACCGCCCTAACCGCTCCACAGAGGATGCCATCTCCTCTGCACTCCACCTGGGCTTACAACATCTGGAAAAGAAGGACACACATGTGCGGATGTTTTTTCTGGACTTCAGCTCAGCGTTCAATACAATCATCCCGCAGCATCTGGTGAACAAACTGGCCCCCCTTGGTTTCAGCACCCCCCTATGTAACTGGCTGCTTGACTTCCTCACAAACAGACCCCAGTCTGTGCGGGTGGGCAACAACACCTCCAGTGTCATCTCCCTGAGCACCGGGTCCCCTCAGGGCTGCGTCCTGAGTCCGCTGCTGTTCACCCTGATGACCCATGACTGCTGCGCCAGGACCACTACTAACCACATCGTGAAGTTTGCAGACGACACAACAGTAGTGGGCCTCATCCGTGATAACAACGACATGGACTACAGAGAGGAGGTGAAACATCTGGTTGACTGGTGCAGAACCAACAACCTGACCCTGAACGTCGATAAAACCAAAGAGATCATCGTCGACTTCAGGAGGCGCCAGCCCAGCCACACACCACTCCTCATCAACAGCACAGCAGTGGAGAGAGTAAGCAGCACAAAGTTCCTGGGGGTGCAGATAACAGACACTGTGACCTGGTCCCTTCACACCGGAGCTCTTGTGAAAAGAGCGCAGCAGCGCATGCACTTTCTGCGGCACACCTCCCTCCTCCTATTCTCACCACCTTTTACAGAGGCACTATAGAGAGCATCATAACAAACTGCATCTCTGTCTGGTCCGGAGCCTGCAGTGCCTCCGACTGGAAGTCCCTGCAGAGAGTGGTGAGGACGGCAGAAAAAATCATTAAGACTCCACTTCCTCCCATCCAGGAGATCGCTAAAATCTGCTGTCTGACCAGGGCTCAGAAAATCAGCAGAGACACCTCCCACCCCCACCAAGGACTGTTTTCGCTGCTGGAATCTGGAAAGAGGCTCCGCAGCCTCCGAAGCAGAACTTCCAGGTTCTGTAACAGCTTCTTCCCACAGGCCATAAGACTTTTGAACACAAAAAAATAATCCCTCCATTCCCCCTCAAACCCCCACACAGGACTACCTCACTGGACTGTAAAATACAATATAACATACATCACAAACGTGCAATATATTTATCTGTATAGTGTCATGTCCAGCTCAGGGTCTTAGGTTGTTTTTATTTCTATCTTGTTTTATTTTCTGTCACTAACTTCTCCTCTTGTTTCAGATCCGTCACTTCCTGCCCTCATGTGTTTCCCACCTGTGTGATTGTCTGCCCTGCCCTGATTGTTCCCAGCTGCATCTCGTTGTCTTCCCCCTCACCCTACTATTTAGTCTGTAGCTTCCCTTCCTTCTGTGCCAGTTCGTCTTCGACCCCTGTGAGAAGCGTTCAAGCCTTTTGTTTCCCCTTTGATCACTTTTTTGGATTGTATCTTCTTCAAGAGTAAAGACTGTTTTTTTCCCCCCATCAAAGATTGCGTCGTGAGTCGTGCTTTTGGGTTCACTTACCTGTGGTGTTGTTACAATAGTACTTTTACTCATAGCTTTTCTTTTTATATCTATTTATATCTGCACCTTATTTTTCTATGTAAATACTTGCTGCTGTTTTTATCCTTTAGCACTACAACGAGCCAAATGCAACACAATTTTGTTCTTATCTGCACTGTAAAGTACAAGTTTGAATGACAATAAAGAAAGTCTAAGTCTAAGACTAAGACTACACCTCTGCCAGAGGATATATGCGCACATTGTGTTGTTTAAAAAATTCAAATAAAGTGCAGTAGTCTACATGGAAGAGAGGAACCATCTCAAAAAATTGATACGCTCTTTCACTACTCACAGAGACTTTCATCTTGGGAGAGATGGCCACAGTGCCACAATTCCCATCAGCCCTCCGCCCTCCCTACATGAGACGTCTCTTTTCATTCTGCTAACATTTCGGCTACTTCTTACCGGGCTGACAGAAGCTATTCTGACCTCCTCCTCCTCAATCTGTCCCTGCTGCTGCTGGGTCACGTCTCTCTCCTCCTCCTCCTCAATCTGTCCCTGCTGCTGCTGGGTCACGTCTCTCTCCTCCTCCTCCTCAATCTGTCCCTGCTGCTGCTGGGTCACGTCTCTCTCCTCCTTCTCCTCAATCTGTCCCTGCTGCTGCTGGGTCACGTCTCTCTCCTCCTCCTCCTCTGAATCCACCTGTGCACTCGATGGGACTGCTTCTGCACATGTCGACGGCCCTGCATTCGCTGCTGCAGTCGAACTTGCAAACATATTAGTGATTTTGACACATTTTGCTGCGTCCACTTGTAGGCTTTTTAGCCTTTTTTCTCTGAGCTTCTCTGCACCCCCCTTGTACTTTTGTTGTTTCTTATCCATTTCACACTCACTCACTCTCACTTCTCTCCAACTCCGGTCAGCTTAATGGCAAAATTTGATAACCTTGGGGAGGGGAGCGGAGGGGCGGGCCGAGGAGGGCTGAGAGATTACATTGGACTAGCCCAATGTCCTTCAAGAAAATCAACCAATGGGCCGTGTTTCGTGTCTCAAATTACCGTTGGCGGTCGTTAAAAAATAATATACTCTTTTAATTAAATTATGACAGCCCCGGGCCGGCACACTGGGCATTGCCCAGTACGCCCGATGGCCTGTCCATGCCTGATCTCAGGTGAATTGTTGCAGTCACTTCTATGTTAAGGAGACAGGGACTCCCTTTTCATGATGAAGGTAGAGACAGCACAAACGGAGGGAATTTTCTTGCGTGCATCAAATGCTCATTATATCTCACCAACATCCCAGAATGAGATGATTGACTGTTGTGCCCAGGAAGTTATTAGTGTCATTGTGTCTGAAATGACAAAGTCCACTGGAGGTGTTGTTGCCCACCCGCACAGACTGGGGTCTGTTTGTGAGGAAGTCAAGCAGCCAGTTACATAGGGGGGTGCTGAAACCAAGGGGGGCCAGTTTGTCCAAAATCATTTGATGCCCAGTCCATTGCAAATGAGCTGCAGCAGCAGATCCAAAACAATGGTCTTGCAAAGCTTAAGTGTGTAGCACAAACATATGATGGTGCAGCCGCCATGAGTGGGTCCACTGGAGGTGTACAAGCACATTTTAGAAGGCTCCATCCTGAAGCTATCTATGTGCATTGTTATGCTCATGAACTTAACCTGGTGTTGTGCCATACTTGCAAGGCCATCCCAGAGGCTGTGGAGCTTTTCAGCTTGTTGGAGTGTGTGTACTCTTTCTTCAGCACCTCCCTAGTGAGTCATCATAAGTTCATGGAGGCTCACACAAGGCTTGGATTGACAACAATTGAGCTTGTGCAACTTTCAAACACTCGCTGGGCATGTCAGTTGCGATCAATCAGTGCAGTTCTTGAGACATTGTCTGCCATTTTGGAGTGCCTTTCTGCCATTGGATCCCTCATAGCTGTTGGTCTCAGAGCAAAGCTCTATAAGTTCTCAGCAGTCTATGCACTACTGATGTTTCAGTCACTTCTGTCTGTAACTGAAGGACTCCACAAGCTCCTTCAGAAAGAGACTTTAGACCTGGTAGAGGCTTTGATCTGCAAACAAGCAGTGTGTGACACACACACAGATGCATTTGCCACAGAGCTGTATGAGAGAACCAAAGCCCTGTGCCACACCCACAGTATCCCTGAACCAGGTGCCAAGACAAGGAATAAACAGAGGAAAATGGAGGATTTTGCACTGAATTGAACAACTCAGACACATTGAGAAGAGAGTTACTTTTCCCTTGTGTGGAGAGGATGGTTGGCGAGCTTGAGCAAAGATTTTGCAGTGTAGATGCAGGGCTACTAAAAGGCATCCAGGCATGCAGTCCTAAATGTGAGAACTTCTTGAGTGAATCACACTTGAATGAACTTGCAAAACACTACAGCATTGACCTGAAAACAGAGGAGGTTCTGGTGGCCAGAAACTTTCTTGCCCGGAAAACAGAGGCTGGATGTTCACCCAAAGATATGTTGTCTGTGCACAACCTCCTTGATTCAGACATGTTTCCCTCTCTGAAGGCAACCATACAAGTTGCCCTAACAGTGCCTGTAAGCAGCTGCTCATGTGAAAGGTCCTTTAGTGCACTGCATCTGCTGTACTCCTGGCTGCATCAAACAATGGGTCAGAAAAGACTTAACAGTCTTGCAGTCATGTCAATTGAAAAGACACGCTTCAGCATGAGTCACAACAGAGTGATAGACCGATTTGCCACCCTTAAAAACAGACGGCATTCTTTGATGCTTCCACCCACTAAGTAAGTCGCAGTTGTAGCCATGTTATTTAAAAATGGTGTACTTGGCTTACTTTTATTGTTAATGCTGTAAACATACTGTTACTGTGCAAACCTGTGTTTGTTCTTGTACTGTATTCAAAAAACAGACTGAAATAATAATAATAAATAATTTCTCAGTCTTTGTTAGCTGTTTGTGAAATTTTGTGCTCGCGCGCTACGTTCGCTCACATCCTATGCATCTCTTGGGGCTAAGCCTCCCCTGTCCTTAAACCTAGTGACCCCTGGTCTCAGAAAATGATGTGTTTCAGAAAATGTATGTGAGGAATCAAGCATAATTCTGCTGATCTGAGCTATAGGTCCAGCATCATCTCTATTACAGCGTCTCTAAATGAACAATATTCTGCTGTGGTGAGATAAGAAAAAACTCTGCTGGATCAAATAACTACATTTTGTACTACGTGGGTAATAAACACTGGACAGTCTGTATTAATATCAGTGTGCTCGATGGCAAAGTGAAGTGAGAACACAGCTTTCTATCATGAGATCATCAATGAAACTAGCAAAAGAACAGAGAGCTCAGTTCATCCCCAGTGCTCGATCAACAAAGTGAATTCATTTATTTCCTCCTCAGGGGACCAAGAAGGTCTGTACCACACTTCAAACCAGTCCATTCATCCATCCTTCAGCTCCAGTTTAAACATTGTGGACTTAACAAATGAAACAACAGACATCACCGTTAAAGGAGAAACATTCTGAGAGGAAGAAAAAGAGGAAGAGACGCTGAAGTAGAAATGTGTTTGAGGTTTGATCCTGGTTCATGATTTGTGTAGTTCACCAGCAGACAGGTTTTTGTATCACGTCTTTTCACTGTGGGGAGTTATTTGATCTTTGGCTCTGGAACTAGACTCTTTGTTTCAGGTAAGAATAAACTTTGATTTCCTTCAGTCGTCTGAAATGTGACTTTAATTACTTTCTGCTGTTTGAGTCATTAAATATTAAAGTTTTATAATAAAGGAGATTTTTTTTAAGGCGTGCAGCTATTGAGACATGAAAAGATGTTACCTCTAAGATGTTCAAATCTCAACACATAAATAAAGTTAAGTAAGTTATTCTGTTTCATATGTTGTAAATTTATAACGACAATAAAACGATAAATTTTGCACTTTATAACGACTCCCCTTTAAGTAAGGACAGAAGACATTTAAACTTTTAAACTTTAGCCTGAGTTGCATATATCATATATCAAACTGTATTGTGGGCTCATGTTTTTTTTGTATGGGTGGGATATGTATGTATATATGTGTTGTGTTGTGTGTTTGTATGTATGCTGGCTGCTGGAACACCTAAATTTCCCTGCTGGGATGAATAAAGTATATCTTATCTTATCTTTATCTTAAAGAACATTTGAATGATCCTGAAATAAAAACCTGTAAAATAAAGCTCACAATAATTATATTTGATTTGATGGTGTCTTCAAACAGATATTTAAATGATATTTTAAATGTAATCAGGGTTCAAGGCCATATTAAATGTACACTTTAAAGAGTTGGAGGCTCAATAAGAGGTTCATTAAAAATAACTAACAAGGTTTAAGGACAAGAAGTGCGACTGACGAGGCGACTCCAAAGAGTTTCTGATCTTTAACGACTTAGAAAGCCACATTAGAAGAAAAAGACTTTGTTTGAATGAAACGCTTTAAAAAGGATCAAATAGTCAAACCAATGATTGTTGGGCTCAAACTTGAACATGTTGTTAGTGCTCTGTTTTGAACTGTGTGAATCAACTCATCAATCTTTCTTTGTATGGCTCTGATTTCTAACAAATGTTATCTGAAGACACTTTAAAAAGAGCAGGTCTAGAGCCCACTCTTTGTTATCACACGTTGACTTCTTCTCTGTGTGAATCTACAAATAAACTTGCTCAAATGATTCACATTTATATCATTATATATATTTAATACAGAATGAAAAACTGTTTTTCAGAGACAATCATTTGAACTATATGTTGTCTGATATCACACGTTATCATACGTCTATTTAAATGTCTTCTCTGGGATTTATGAAACCTTTGTCTTCAGTTTGTAAATCAAGTTTGACCTTATTTGACATTTCTAAACATAACACTGAATATTTAATAAATAACAAACACTCTGAAATAACTATTGTATGGATTTTATTTATCTGTTTTAATTAGAGAAAACAACATGGTTTTAAATATATTCATACATATTTATTTTTTAATTTATTCAAAATGATTAAAGAGTTTTCTTGAAGGTTAATATGTAATTCATAATTATATGCAAACCCCGATAAAGATAAGAGTTGTTTAAATTGTATGGAAATATATTTTAATGAAATTATAAACTGCATGATAAAATATAATTTAATGTATAAATACAAAATATAACAAAGTTTAAAATGATATTCTATTGCTGCTATAATCCTACTTTGTTTTTATTTTTATGGATTTAATTTCACTTAAATGTTTTAAACCTTAAAATGTTATTGTGACAACACCTGCTATTTAATAAACAGATTCATGTATTTACCATAATACAGATGATATGATTAATGTGTCTTAATTTTTACTGAGCTGTAGTCATGAGTGTTTTAGAGACCAGAGTTCATGTAGGTTTAGGATCAGACTGAATGCCGTTAATGCTGCTGACTCTGTGTGTGTTACTTGTTTCTCTTTCAAAGACGAGGAGCAGGTGGTGAAGCCCGTGGTGAGCGTGTACCCGGCAGCATCCAGAGGCCGGCTGGAGGAGAAGAGCTCCCTGCTGTGTTTGGCCTCAGCCATGTTTCCTCCTGTGGTCAGAATCTCCTGGAGACGACAAACGGAGAGTGGATGTTTAGAGGAGCTGCCCTCTGCTGACGGACAGCAGCTGGAGCTCAGAGAGTCTGGATGTACTGCCTCCGTCTTACAGATCTATCAGACAAAGTTCAGCTATGAATACAGCTGCTACGTGCAGCATGAGGGGGGAACAGTGGAGGCTCTGATAGATACAGGTAATGAAGGTTTTGGTGACTTTATGCAGCGTAGATTCATCTTCATTTAGTGACTCTGTTAAAAGAAAGAAAAACAGAGGACTGACGTTGTTGATGATTTTATTCTTTTTCTGTTCCAGCACCTGCAGCGGATCCCTCTGTCCCGTCTCCATACAAGGTGAAGCTGCTCTTACTGCTCTACACAGTGCTGACAGTGAAGAGTCTGGTGTACTGCTGTGGACTCTTCCTGCTGACCGTCCTCAGGAACATCTCATAAATGTATCTCCTTTATCACTTAGATGAATTTAAAAATGTCAATCATGACTATATATATGCAATTATGATCAAACAACATTTTGCAGCAGTGTAAAACAAATCCTATATTATATACAGTAAATGTTATTGTTTTGTATAATACTTTAGCAAATGATGCGCAATGTTTAGAGCTATTAGCGGCTAAGATGCTTTCTTAATTAATCAGGCCCTCAGTCTCTCGTAACAAGCTCTCTTTATAGTTTCACACACCACAGAGAATAAAATGTACAGGAAGATATGAATACAAGCACACACATTGACCAGGAACAAAAAGCTCACAAAGAAAAGTAAACTTGTAAAAATTCAGTGTGTTGATTTGTCTGCAGGTTCACTGTTGACCCTTTTAAACGGTGGTGTCAGTGTTGATGTAGAGCTCTACGCTGATGATATTCTTGTTTACATGTAGAAACAAAACATGACATAGCAGCTTCTTCAGTGGAGAGCTGAAGCTGAAAGATTAAAAAAAACATGCTGTGTGCTTTTCTTATTTTATTTTCTCGTTTATGGATAAACTGCTTTTTTTCTGCTAATTTACAATAAAATGTTTTAACAAATCAATACAGACTGTGTATAAAATAGTGTAAATATAGTGATTTTACATTTTAGCTAGTTCACAGTGTGCCTGTAAAAAATATTGCTTTTTTAAAGTAAATGCAATAAAAAAAAATGTATGTTGAACTGACGAGCTGAAAGAATAAAGTCGCATATATTAAACATTGTTGTGTCGTTTCTATAATTAAGAACATAATGTTTTGATTTAAAATGAATCCTGAACAAAGACTTCTCTTTACCTTCTGAGCCCGACTTTATACTTTATTAGTTTTCAGTACATGCTGCTGCGTAGCCCAGTGGTTAAGAACCATGTAAAGGGCTATTTCCCTCGAGGCCGGCGGCCTGGGTTCGACTCTGACCTTCTTCATTTCATCGCATTTCAATCAGTTTTATTGGGTGTCAAAAAGTGACAGCGATGGCTTCATTTTACATTTAGATGTAAGATGAATGATTCTAATGCAACGCAAAGTAATGCAAAAAAAGGAAGGTACCTCGTGTGCATAATACAAAAATATAATTATGACTCTATTCGTGTAGCTCTTTTCAAACAAGGAGAACAAAGAGCTTCACACATGACAGCAGAAAAGTACGACGGCGTATCAGAGCCATTCTAAAACAAACAAAAAACAGAAAAGGGAACATTTCCAAAGACAAACTCAGAGTTCTTGAGATTATAAAGTAAGTTCACTATAAAACTCAGAATATCTCTTTAGATTTTAAATGTGATTATAGAGGTCAGTGACTGCAGGCCTGATCCAAACAGTAGCATCGTATGCTTTTCTTATGGTGGACATTAGTGCCTTTATAATCTCACACAATAAACCAGTTGTGTTTCTAGAAAATGTACTTAAAAAAAACAAAAACATTTTGGGTTTTTTCTTTTAAATGAACGGCTCATTTTACTTTTTTTGTAGTCGTATAAAAGAAATCAAAATGAAGACCCATGTAACGGGACAATACTGTCTGCTGTTATCGTTCCTTTTAAACATCTTGGAAATGAGAAGTCCTGACTTACATCAGGTTTCAGTAATTATCAGCTAAATATTTTAAAGTGGATATACATTTTTTTATTATTATTGTTAAGATTTCTTATTTTTAATGTCATTCTTCTCTTTTTTTCCCCTCCTCCTACCTCCTTCTCTTCTGTTTATTTTTACACCAACAGCTCACTCCATTAAAGATTAAATGTGATCTTATTTTTGAAAAGTATCAGAGCTTATTAGAGAAGTTTCACATTATCAGTGTCTCAGTTTCCGAGTTCATTATAAAACAGTTTTTCTCTCACAGATTAATACCAACGATTAGACATGAGAAAGTTTTCAGCACAAACTAAAGTTCCTGGAACAATTATTAAACCACATTCAAAGGTTGTAACTGTCGTTGTGTTATTAATATGAAAAACCTCAGATAACGGTGAGGAGGAGGCTGCAAAGAGGAAACCCACAGAGCTCGTCTGCTGTGTTTGATCATCTATTGTTTTATAAGTCCTGATAACCTCTGAGAACAGAAACATATCTGCTGCTGTATGAACTCATCGACTCCTCTCCCTCCCTCTGCTGGATTTCAATTCTCGCTGAGTCTGCAAGAAGTTTTCCACTGAGATAGAGGTGTAACAGAAGAGAGTCCAGAGGCATAAAGTCACAAATAAACTTCATTTTTTTATTTGACAGAATGCAGACTTCAGAGTAACTCAAATTGAAAACGAATTCTTGATCAGATGGAAGATGTCTGTGTTTCCTGCTGATGCTGACAGGACTCATTAAGGAGAAAGAGCACCACCCTTTGGTTAGTCAGAGTAAGTGCAGGAATATCATGGTGACGCGCTAACCTCACGGCTGCTTCAACCACTGTGACATCTAGTGGAGTAAAAACACACAACAGGAAATGACGGCAGATCCTGCTTTAAAAAAAAATAGGGGACATGAAGAGAGTGATACATTTAACAAAACTGTAAAGTTAAAAAACACTGTCAGGTAGATCAGTGATGAATGCATCATAAGAATGAGTGCAGAGAGCTGTTGGTGTGAGGAAAACACTAAACATACACAAACCAGTTTGAAGAACCTGGAGGAGGAAGAGGAGTGGACCCCCTCTAGATTCTGACTTCATGAATGTTAATTAAACCGTTTTGTCAGAGATACATTTGAGTCCAGAGAAGCACATGTTAACAATTCAATGGTGCCATTCGCTATATAGTGACTTGAAGAGGCAGACCGATCTCCATCATGGTTTTCTTTTGAGTGTTATAGTCAGTCACAGTCTAGAACAAAATGATGTTCTTATTCTACATAAACTATAAACAGACTATATAAAACAATTCCATTAAATGAATAATTTAATATTTCATTTGATATTTTCGTCATATCCAAATATGCTGTGATGATTGCTGGGCAGTGTTAGGCAAGTTACTTCCAAAATGTAACACATTATATATTAGTAGTTACTGTCATTTAAAAGTAATTAGTTACATTACAATATTTCTGTCTCTGAATTGTAATACGTTACACTACTTTTGAGTTGCTTATCAACTGCTTATCAATAAAACAAAGGCCAATTTGCCAAGAAATGGCTAATACATAGGCTACCAAACAAAGGCTGGTAAAATTAAAATAACTTATAGCTAGAACTCTAGCTGATGACCACATTTTTCAAGAATACTAAAAATAAATCAAACACACATAAGAAAATTGAAAATAAAAAATGAAGGCTAAACAGGAAACCTGTTACAGCAAATAGCCTATACAACAGAGGTAGCATACAGCCAAAGAAGGCTGGTAAAATTAACTGAACTATAAAGGCACTTATGGCCTGGACCTTTCCATAGCCTACTTACCTCTGTTTCCACTGACATGGGCACATCAGCCGTGGCATTGGGCTGTACATCAAAGGAAAAAAAGTCATCCTCGCTGGTAGCAGCAGGTTGAGGGGCATCGGGCATCAGGGCTGTAGGCTCTTCTGTTGTTAGGGAGCGGCACTCCGTTGTGAGGAGGAACTTGATGTGGTCTCTTCTGGCTTCTTCTTTTACCCAGCGCAGCTTGAACTTTGGCAGGGAGACAGCAGCCAGAAGTGCATCCTTGGAATCAATTGTGGTGGCAAATCGAGTTTTGATTGCTCCCACAATAACCTCAGGCAGCCCAGTGGTCATTTGTGATAGGCCATTTTTCATTACTAAGGTTTTGGCCATCAGAACTTCTAGCGTTGGTTGAAGCGTTCCATAAAAACAAGTGTCCTCACCCTGTAGGATGTCCAGTGCGACTGTGAAAGGCTTCATAATGGCACAACATTCCTTGAGAAACTGGTATTCCCTGTCGTTCATACATTTAATCTGAAGCTGTGTGCAGAGGCTATTGATGTCAGTCAGGGGCATTTCTGTGATCCGAGCATAGGCGTTATAGAATGAGTTCCACCGTGTTACTGTGGGGACAATCAACTTCCTATCACTGACCTCTTCCAGGCACTCTGATGCGACTGTGGAGCGTCTGGCCTTTGTCCACAGCGCTGAACATTTGGCTGTAGCACTACGATACACAGCCCTAGATTCTGGATTAGATACCAGCCAATTAACAACCTCATTGTTCGCAATTAGATTAAGTGTTTGGGCTGCGCATCTATGGTGGGGAGGCAGTACACATAGCCCATGCTGAGTATCATCATCGGCAGTAAGCACACTGTGAAGGTCTGTGAACTCCACCTCGCCATCACCCTCCACCTCCTCCTCGGACTCCACTTGCTGCTGCTGATGCTCCTTGAACGCCTTCACAAAGTTACTCCCATTGTCCGTCACACATGCAGTCACTTTATCGTTGGTCAGTCCATATTGAGAAAAAATGTCCTCTAGCTCTGTTGTAATGCGTCGTATGTGTGTCGACCCCTAAATCTTTTACAAGCTATCTGCATCGATCCAGTGCACAGTCACCCCCATGAAACTTTTGTTGTTGGCACTCCATATGTCTGCTGTTGTTGATACATCCAGTGTTTTCTTCAGCTCCTTTTCCATGACAGCATCTGCCTTATCCAAATCTTTGGCAAATGTTTTTCTGTCTGGCAGTACATGCTGAAAAATGAAGATAACTCCATGTTAAACTCATGCTGTGTTTAAATGGGTTAATTATATATGGATACTGGTACAGGGGTTAAAGTAAAAAAAGAAATCCTGAGCCTGAAGTGCACAGATTCACTTCTCTTCAACAACAGCATGTGCTTTGCACCATTTATTTTCAAATACTATATGTGAAAATACTTTACGTAAACAGTAACAGTGCAATAGCTTTCAACACAACTGTGAACAATACTGCAACACTATAATTACAACTTATGTGTTTGAGTAAAAAGCAGCTGAGACATTCACCCTCTGCCCGAAACACTTTGAATATCTCCAGTCCTCCTTAAGGCCCCCCCCGATAAGCCCAGTCTGCTATGATTGGTCAGCTCACACAGGTACAGCTCTCTGTCATATTATGTTTCTCCGGTCAGCTGTGCGGTGTTTTTAGCTGCCAGCTAGCGGCATTTCTACTGTGACTGTCTCTACAAAAATCACTTCTAAACCAAAAACTTCTCCACCGCACATTTAAGAGCAGGAATCTGATCTGTATGAGCCTCAGTCTCAGCCATACGCCGGCACGGTGCCAGAATACTTTAAGCCCTACCGGTATATACATTAGCGTTATGTTTAGGTTGCTGTTTGTAATAATAACACGCTAGATAGCTGCATGACCCAGTGATCTATACTATACTGTATATGAACCACTCTCTATGACAACGTTAGCTTACCTTGTCATTGCTGGTGTTGGTGGGGATTTTGCAGACAAACTTTTTAAAAGCTGGTGAATTCACTGTTGACAGAGGCAGCATATCCTCCACCACATACTCTGCCACCTGTCTCCTCACTTCTCTTGGTTCAAGTAGCACGGCAGACCGAGAGAAACTTAATTTCTGCTGCTTTGTCTGACTCTTTCCCGCACTTTCGTCCTCTGCTCTCTTTCTCTTCTTCCCGCCTGCATCTCTCTCTGTCAACTTGGTGTTAGCGTGGCACCGGTCCACATGTTTCTTCAAGTTGCTGTTTTTGGATGTAGAAAGTTCCCTCGGTGTCACACTCGCACACAGATTGCACTTGACAATAATGTTCTTGTCCTTTGATGTTGAATCTGTCTCTGTCATCTTAGCGAATTCCTTCTTCTTCTTCTTCTTGTTATTTTACGGCAGTATTAGCGACAGGAACAGGAAGTACTCTTATTCGCTGTATTTTTCTCTGTCTCTTGCAGAGTCGCGGTGTTGGTGAATTCTTAAAACACAACACATCTCAGGTTAAAATGCATTGTAACGCGCGTTACTGAGATTTGTAACGGGTATAAAATTACTGAAATTTTATTAGTAATGCGTTATATTACTGTGATACAGCAAAAAGTAATACATTACTGTAATTGTGTTACTTTTGTAACGTGTTACTCCCAACACTGTTGCTGGGTAATAATGTGATCATGTCATGTAGCTTGTTACGGCCAAAATCTGGTGGTGAGCACAGTGCACCTCTCTGATGAATGAGCGATTCAAAATGCCTTTCAAGATAGATAGATAAATACTTTATTCATCTCCTGGGGAAATTCAGGAGTGTCCCATAGCTCACAAGTTAGAAAAAAATCGAACAAACATTGAAAACTAAATTTCAATATTAATTTAATTAATTTCAAGCGGAAGTCAAAAATGACAGGAGAGAAAGGAACAGGAAGAGAGGGTAGCAAAGCTCCCTAAAATAGACTATTTTGGTTTCAAAATCAGTCAGCAGCCCACAGTTGACCCCCTGCCCCTTCCTCGCAGTAATGCAGCAGTTCGGCCTGCGCTTCAACAGCCATGCAGCAGGTAACATTAGGAGGATAGAAGCTGTAACATTGGCCCTAAATAATCATAACATTAGGCTAGATATACATCTCAAGAAGAGTTATATATACATTTTGTTACAATCTAACACATTGTTGCACGATATATAGCCTAATAGTGTGTGTTTGTGTGTGTGTGTGTGTGTGTGTATGTCAAGTCAAGTCAACTTTATTCATATAGCACATTTATAACAGCCGAGGCAGACCAAAGTGCTGTACAGTAAATCAGGCAAAATACATTACATCCAAAACATCATGAAAACACGTAAAAACAAAAATCAAAAAAGCAAGATGAATTAAAACTCAAAACAATAGTAAAAGTTTCGAATAGACACTGCTGCTGGGATAAAACACTCAACTAGTAAAAGCAAAGGAAAAGAAATGGGTTTTTAAAAATGACTTAAACTGCTCAGTTGTGGCAGCAGATCTTATTTTAAATGGTAATCTGTTCCAAAGTGTCAGAGCTGCAACAGAAAAGGTTTGATCGCCCCTAGTTTTGAGCCTTGTTTTAGGCACGTCCAGGAGCAGCTGGTTGGAGCATGAACATGTAGTAGTTCACTTAGGTAGTGAGGTGTTGAGCCATTTAATGATTTAAAAGCCAGAAGTAAAATTTTAAAATGAATCCTGTAGCGAACAGGAAGCCAATGGAGAGAACGGAGCACAGGGGTTATGTGGTCCCTCTTTTTTGTGCCTGTTAGGAGGCGAGCAGCCGCATTTTGGACAAGCGGCAGGCGTTGGATGGATGACTGGTCCAAGCCCACATATAGTAAGTTGCAGTAGTCCAGGCGAGATGTTATGAATGCATGTATTACTGTTTCTAAATCACTGCTTTCTTGCTCTCTCTCCCTCTGGACAGCAAAGACAGACAACCTTCTGTCATTGTTTTTGGTTTGTTGTTGAGTGAAATATAACCTAAAAAGCAAATTTACTGTGTGGTTCTCCATTGACTGTTACGGCCTAGACGAGCTGGTCATAACACTTTGTAGTGAATAATATATAATAATAGTAATAATCTTTATTTACAAAGTGCTTTACAAGGACAGCAAAAACAAATGTAAGAACAGGCAGGTCATAGAATAATAAACAAGGCAAAGATTAAGAAATAACCACTTTAAGATTTAAAATCCATTTAAAAGAACTGTAAAACACATTCTTTTAAAGGAATTTTAAAAGGTGAAATTAAGTAACAATTTAAAATCAACTAAAATCAGGAAAGGCTCGCCAGTAAAAGTTTGTTTTTAGAAGGGACTTAAAAGAGAAAATTGATTCGGCTGACCTGATCTCCAAGATGCTAAAACAGGAGTGATGTGGTTATGCTCGCTGGTTCTTTAGTTGATCTTTAGATTTTTGGTTCAGGCAAGTAAAAAGGCTGTCACAGCAGTCAAGACTTGATGAGATAAAAGCATTTAAAATCATCTCTGTGTATTTAACAGTTAAAATTGATGTAATTTTTGAGATATTTCTGAGCTGATAAAAACAAGACTGTACAAGCTTTGTTGTGTGCTGCTCAAAATGTAAGTTGCTGTCGAACCAGAAACCCAGATTTTTGGCAGCAGGGTTGATATGGTTTACTAGGGGACCAGCAGATGGCAGTATTTGCTTAGTCAGGTGCTGTGGTCCAATTAAATTGATCTCAGTCTTGCAGAAAGTTACTTGACATCCAGCTCTTAATCTCAGACAGGCAGTTTTTAACAGAACTCGGCATACCTTGGTCTAGAGATTTAATGGGCAGGTACAACTGCGTATCATCAGCATAAAAATGAAATAACACACCGTGTTTATTTATGATATGCCCTAAGGGGAGCATGTATAGGCAAAATAAAATGGCCCCCAAGACCGACCCCTGCGGCACACCATATTTCACTCTAGAGAAGGCCGAGGCAAAGTGATTAACAGACACACAGCACCTTATATTGGACAGATACAATTTAAACCAGTCTAATGCTGTACCAGAAACCCTGACCCAGTGCCTTAGTCTGTTCAACAGGATGTTGTGATCAATTCTGTTGAAGGCTGTACTAAGGTCCAAGAGTACCAGGACTGAGCACATACCTTCATCAGCGGCAATTAAAAGGAAATTTTGTACCTTAAGCAAGGCAGTCTCAGTGCTGTGAAACTTCCTGAAACCTGATGAAGTTTTTCAAAAATGCAATTATTTTCCATCACATCGAGACGTTGTTTTGACACAATCTTTTCTAAAATCTTGGAAATAACAGGCAATTTGGAAATTGGCCTGTAGTTCTGGGGCAGGGAGGGGGTCTAGTCCATGTTTTTTCAGCAATGGATGTACTCAGGTAGTTTTAAAATAGTCAGGGACCCAACCCTTGGACAGAGAACTGTTAAAAATTGAAAGCAGCCAGGGCCCGACAGAGTCCATTCCTTTGAGTAAAAACTTGGTTGGTATCACATCAAGAGGGTTGGAAGCACTGGTGTAGTGCAGAGTATACGGAGTATGCCCACTTATAAATCTCCTCTGATTCACACCATTGATTGACTGACTATATTCAGTAGTATGCTGCATTTTGTTCTTAGGATGGTGAAGGGATCACCCTCCTACTCTGTCTCTGCTTTGCAAGTACGTGCTAACTTAATCTGTGAGAATAGAATAGTCTTACATGTCATTGTTTATAACAGAGGCTCTTTATCCTCTGCTGGACGGATACTTAATAAAAGCATTGTGGGTAAAAAGAGTATACCCACTTCTTTAGGCACCACTACACCACTGGTTGGAAGACACTCTCATATGTGAAACTGTTTCTAAAAGTTCAGCTAAGTAAATGGATAAAACTGGAACTCTATCTTGAGGGTGAAGGGAGTCAGAGCAGCTAACATTTGGGGTAATTGAGGCTCTGATTGACATCACTTTATCAGTAAAATAAGATAAAAAACTTTTCACAATCTGCGTTGCTGTAAACTGAAGCACTTGGAGGATCTGGATTTACTAGTTGGTTGATTGTCTTGAATAAAATTCTTGGGTTGTGTTGATTGGAGGTGACTAGTTCAGAAAAGTATTGTGTTTCATTCTTAACCATTCTGTTGTATTGTGTTAAAAAGTCCTTCATGATATTGTAGAGTATTTGTAGGCCAGATTTGTTTCACTTGCATTCTGCTTTCCTTTTTACAGCTGTGAATATTTTCATTAATCCAAGGCTGCTTTATTGAAATCACATATTAGATAGTTCAGAGTCTTATTATAATGTAAAGCCTGTTAAAAATAAAGTAAATGCAAAGATCATTATACATTTGTAATAATGTTTTTAAATGTTTAGATGTCATCTTTAAAGAATAAAAACATCTGCATAGACTGAACATTGTGTGATTTTTCTAAAAAATTATTGAAACAATTAAAACATTTTTTTAATGAGAAAAAGTCCTGAATCAAAGCTTTCCCATTATCTTCTCACATGTTTTTATTTGATTGTATGTAATGAACCCACTGAGATCAAGATCTCTTTGACGACGGTGAGCTGGCCAAGAGTGCAGCAGCTCACGTCATAATAAACATGACATGATTAATAAACAGTTCACAAACAATAAGTTAAGAGCAGACAACAATTACAATGTACTAATCAGTTTACAGATAAAGTGCAGAAGTTGTGATCACAGATTTCTATAAAAAAAAACAGACACAGTCCAACGGTCAAACGTTTTCTGTCTTCTACATTCTCCAAGATGACTAGGGGATGAGGGGAGTAACAATACATTAAAACCCAGGGAAAAGAAATAGGAACTAAATATGAGCAAAGTTTAAAAGGATTTATTAACAAACCTCCCAGGAACACAAGGCATAGTGTCTCCTTGTTCTTTGAAGGTATGGACATAAATAAGAAGGAACTAAACCAAGAAGAGCTTTATAGATACGACTCAGCCGGTGTGTATACCTGCTACTTTTTTGTTGTAGACAATGTGCAGGACTTTGACTGCAATTTAGATTAAAAACAAGAAACTATTCAATATCAGGTCTAGGACTTTTATTTGTGTTGCCATGGTATCAAGCAATGAATATATGTATCATTTAATTTTTATTAGAATCACCACCTCTTCAACTTTACTCAATGTAACAACCATTTGGGTTCACTTGATCTCTTTTTTTATTCATTGCCAAACTTTAATCAATCAATCAAACTTTATTTGTAAAGCACAATTATTAAAGGGTAGTTCAGAGGTCAAAGTTTGAGCCGGCAGTCTGATAGTGTTTGTGATTATCTGCTGTCAGATATAAATCAAGAAAGAGAAACATTTTACAGTTCAGAGGAATAAATATTAAACACATTATTTAAACCTATGAAATTAAAATTAAGAAACACATTTTCATAATAATGGCTAATGGCTGATAGACCGTAGTCTTCTATTAGGCCTACAGAAAAAGAAAGAAAACATTTAGGACCTGGTCGTGGATCTGTGTGGTCATTGTGGAGGATTACTGGGAGTAAATCTGGACAATAAACTGAGACTGGTCCAAGAACATGGAGGCCGTCTACTCTTCTTCCTGAGGAGGCTGAGGTCCTTTAACATCTGCAGGACCATGCTGAGGATGTTCTATGAGTCTGTGCTTTCCAGTGCTATCCTTTCTTCGTTGTGTGCTGGGGCAGCAGGCTGAGGGTAGTGGACTCCAACAGACTCAACAAAATGATCCTCAAGGCCAGCGACGTTGTGGGGATGGAGCTGGACTCTCTGATGGAGCGGTGTCAGAAAGCAGGATGCTGTCTAAGCTGCATGTCCTCTTGGAGAATGTCTCCCACCTCCTCCACGACGTGCTGGTCAGACTCAGGAGCACATTCATGGCATTGGGAGTGAGGAGAAACCTCAATGTCCTTTCAAGGATAAATAAATGTTTGATTGAATGATTGATCCTCCATTATTCATCATTTGTTATTTATTTAAACTTTGCAGTACTCTGAATCTTAAACGGTCAATAATCTGTCCATTACCACAATGTGCAATACTGAAACTACTGAGAAATACTCTCTGTGCTTTAATACATGGATCCATTATTTAATAATCTGCACTTTATATAAAGCTTATTCTTTACTAACATGCTGCTTGTTACATAACTGTAACACTCTTTCTTGTTCTTATTGTTTTATCTCTTATTTAGATTCATTATTTCATTCTGTTTGTTTCTCTACATTTCTACTGCTATGTTGTGTGTGAGAGCTACTGTAAGGACCAAATCTAGAAGTATTTCTGATTCTACTTTAAAGATTGAACACAAACTTTAATCTTTCTACTCTTCATGATAAGAGTTCCTTCTTGGGTACATAAAGAGTTTTAAATACATTCATATCAGTGATGAGATCAGTGTGTGTTCACATTAACACCTGTCTATTAACACACAGGAAACAGGCTATGGTTACTGTATCCTGTCTGTTGATACTTAGCTCCGCCTCCTCCCTCCTTCAAAACCTCAGACTCTGCAGAAAACCACACAGCAGCTCCAGCCCAGCTGTCAATCATCAGTCAGCAGCAGGGGCTGATGGGAGTTCTGAGGACCTGTTAGAAACCGCCCGGCTCAGTCTGACCCCGCAGCTCGTCCTGGTTTGGCCTCACTTCTCGTCAGGTTCACCAGAGGAAAACAACAAAATGTTTCTCCTCCCTGCTGTGGCTCTGTGCTGTGTGAGCTCAGGTGAGTGTTTCCAGCCAATCAGGAGCCAACAAACTCAACCTGTAATAAACCAGCCCTGTCTCTGTGTAATGACTTTAACTAAACTGTGGGATTATCCTGATCTGGTTTTAACATTACCTCATCGAGGAGGTGAAAAAAGTGTTATTAATTGGAGACAGAGCTGAAAAAAAGAACTGTCTCACTAACCTCCATCTGTCTGTTTCTCTATAGCGCTGGCTGCCATGACAACAGAGCTCAAACAGGACAGTTTGTCACTGACCAGGAGAGTTGGAGAAAGTGTCTCCTTCAGCTGTGAACGTTTAGACCTGTGTGATTATGATGATTATGTGTACTGGTACCAGAAAAAAGACAACGAAACATTCACAAGGATTCTGTGGATTAATAAGCGTGATGTTGACATGGACAAAGATGATTACAATCATCCTCAGAAAGATGATTTCTCAGCTGTGATCAAACAGAACAGTGTTGAGCTGCAGATCCAGAAGGTTAATTCCTCTCATTCAGCCACATACTACTGCTCCTGTTGGTTTACCCCCACAGTGAGAAATGATCCGAGCAGGCTGAACAAAAACCAACAGATGAGCAGAAGTCAGATAATGTTTGTGACAGGAAGACAGCAGTAAACCACAGCTCACTGAGTCATTCACCTCCATCACACACAGGATGAACTGAGGGATTATTTTACTGGTGTCTGGATTTATTCTTGATTTTATTTCTTTGTTTTTCTCCATCAGATATTTCAGTAAGGTCATGGTTAGTCCACACTGTGAGGACAAAGAGAGAAGAGCAGAAACACATTGACAAAATAAATAAATACAATAAAATGAAGTCATCACTTTTTTAACATATTTTAGACAAATTTCAAAATAACATGTCTTCCTCTGGCTCCAAGGCCAGGAGTAATACAGGATGGATACAATGCATGATGGGTAAGGGGAATGTAAAAAGGCTGTGAGCCAGGTCCAGCCCTCAGCAGGTATTTTGCTTCTTTTCAGCATTATTTTCTGTTGGCATAAACCTTTGGCCATCTCAAAATGATAATGACCACATCCAACTCGGGGACTTTAGTCTACATGATGTCACTGCACATATAAAGATACTATCAATCCATAAATAGTGATAGAGGTATGACATTTGACAGGGAGTAACCTGAAACATATGACAAATTACAAATATAAGATTGAGGGGCTTGCTGCCATTGTGTTTTGAAATGTTTACCACAACATCTTACAAGACACAAAGAAAAACACTGTCCAATTCTCTTCAAACATGCCTACCCTTTTCATGTATTTAAAAACATAACTATATTCATCAGCCCTATTTGAGCCCAAGATGACCTTTGTGTATTCAAAGTGACTTTAGCTGTAACCATGTAATGCATGTTTGAAACTCAATAATCTTTCATTCGACAGCATTTTTTGATTCTTTTATTTTTATTTAACTTAAGTGAAGGGTACTTTATTCTCTCAATCAATCAGTCAATCTTTATTTGTAAAGCGCCAATTCATGTTAACACGTTATCTCGAGACACTTTACAAGAGAGCAGGTAAAAGACCTTACTCATTGTTATGTTACAAAGACCCAGCATTGATCCATCATGAACACAGAACTTAGCAACATTTAGCAAAGTTACAGTGACAAGAAAAAACTTCTCTGTTTGAATACCTGCTTTTATTTTGAAAGAAAATAACGAGCTTCCTGTGGATCAAGGTTACAAAAAGAACTTAACAGCTGAACTGTGAAAAAGGGAAATGTTTGAAGTCACATGGTGGATATTACTTTTGCCTCATCAACTGAGCCGTGTAGTTCTTTAAGTAAATGAGACATTCAAAGGCGCAGTGGAGTCGTTCTTTTCCATCACTGAGGTTACAGGGAGATGCTGCAGAGTGTACGCTTAAAGGGACAAAGTAGTTCATGCTTATTGAAAATGAATTCATTAATTTCAGTCCCTAGGGCCCTGTTTTTACAGACAGAGTTTTCAATACAAACCAATGGAGTTCAGTGTTTTCAGTGCTCAGCAGATTTTGAATTCATCCATGTTTTTTTGTTCTTTGGTAAGAACAGAAGTTATGAACACTTAAGAACACTCTTTACGCACATTTGAGTTCTGACTGGCCGGGGTAAAATGATGGTTATTGTTTTTAATTTAAATCGATAATATTATAGGGTTTACATGAGCCTACAATATGTTGTTGAATAAAGAATGAAATATTTTATGATTCACTTGATACAACTGTTACGTCCCACCGTAAAGGGGGCCCTACGGGCCTAACAGCAAACCATACATTGACCCATTAAAAGACACTAACCACCTTAACAAAAGTCAAAACAAAGGGATTTATTACAAAATGACACACTAAATGATAACAAAGATCAAATGAGACAACAGACGATCCCTGACTGAGCAGCACAGCAGTCCCAACTCAAAATGCCTCTCCTCTCTGCAGCCAGCACTGGCCTTTTGGTCCGTCAGCACCATGGTTTTGCTCTGTCAGACGGCTCGCGCCCATTCACACTGGATCCATTTCTGTGACGTCAGCGCAGCGGAGCGCAACCATGACACATCACAGGAGAACTACAAGATCCCGTGGGAATAAAGAGAAAAACATGCAAACAACATGTTGCTTTGTCTTTCTGATGATGAAATGTTCATTCTGTGCCTGTTTTGACGTTATGTTGATAAAGTGATGAAAAATACGATCGGGAGTCTATATATTGTGTTTTATTTTGAAATTGACCGGATGCTCTGTGCGTTTCCTTGTCTGACTTCTTGTCCGTCTGTCATATTCTGTCCAGCTTGACTCGTGCCTGCAGCGTACTCCGGTGAAAAGAGACTCGCTGCGTATTTGAAACAAAGCAGAGCGTAGTGCCGTTGGTGGCGCGCTCCAGAGATGGACCGCAGCAATAAATCAGAATGAATCAGAATAAATCATGAGTTTGAGGCACTTACGCCCCTTTTTCCAGCACACCAGACACTATTTCTATCACTGGAATCGGTAAAGCCCTTGCCGGTGAAGGTTTTTGGAAATCCCTCGGGCATTGTAATCCAATTTTGAAAGCTTGACCAGCCTCTATAAAGATGACAGGCCATTAAAAAGAAATATCTCTTCCTTTATATCTGGACGACTCCAGTGCTTCAGAAGTAAATGAATGAGGGATTTTGTGTTTTCATCATTTGTGAGGAAATCTTTCCAATCTGCAGCTTGATGAGGATTCAGACCATTAACTAGAAACCATTCAGCATTTCCTCTACGATCTCTCTCAGCTGGCTGATTTGGTTGAATAAAGATGGTAAGTATCTGAAAACTGTTAGAGCTGCAGCCGGTAGACTTCTGAAGATGCGGTCTGAATTGGTCTTCATTGTCTGTGGCACATATTTCTGATAGAATGAGGAGTTCCCATCTTGAATAATGTCTCACTGGCTAGGAGAAAGGAGCTATGTGTTGTCAGCATCTTTTATCATGTAGTTCATCCCTCGGGCTTTGTTGTTTTTTACAAAGAAGACATTGTGGAGATGATATATGGTGTCAGAGTAAGGGGGATAGTGTTGTAGTTTGAAAGGTTGAATCATAACAGAAACACACAATCTGGACAGCAACAGGCACAAAGCAATAAGTATCTAACCTCTGAATTTAGCCAGGTCATAATGTCATGTTCTGATACACGTACACACATACCCATCCACCCTTTCCTGGTAAGAGACCAGTTGTCTGGCCAAGAAACTTCTAGGAAATGCTCTTTATACAGCACACATGTTGTAATTGCCCAGTGTGATGATTGCTCATAACGGGATGATTGGGATGCTATAAAAGAACTGCTCTGAGAGAAATACACAGATCCTCCATTCACAAGCCATACGTCTCTGTCTGATTGTTCAAGAGCATTTACTCTTCTACAATAGCACATCAGCTCAGAGATTCTAATTTGTGACCTAAGCAGCTGTGATTTGATTAATACCTGAAATATAAACCCATTAAACTGGATCACTTTCTGGTTTGATGCTGTGGTGTAAGCCTTTGTTTTGTGTATATGTCTTTTGATAGATTAAAGAAAATACTTTTTGAAAGAAGTCGATCACGGATGAACTCCTTCAGCACATCATAGTGTTCCTCTTCTGGTATAGCTGCTCCTGGAGACAAACTTATCAAGGTCTTAGAAGTCTCAAGCTGAAATGGGTGGATACAACTCTCACAAGCCTCTGTTGGTGCTGGACTTGCTTTTCAGACTTTCTCATTTCTCCTGGAGTTAGATCTCTTTGTTGATTTTCTGAATGCTCACCTGGCCACTTGTCATATCCCACATTGCTTCTAGAAACTCTCCATTAGCATTGGCAGTTAGGATATGACATTGACCGTCTTCATAATTGCTGGTGATTCAACAGATTGCAGCAGAATATTTCCTGGAACTTGATTTTGACTTGAACCATTTCATCACTGCTCTATTGTTTTGTCCGTGTGGCAGCCGTTTCCTGGGAAACTGACTGAACAAGCATGCTAAAGTTTCTCTGAGCCAGGATGAGTCTCAGACAGTGGCGTCATTAGGCCTATTTTAGGGGGGCTGAAGCCCTTCATAGTATCATAAATCTGTCAGTTTCCCTTCACTTCATAGTGTAAGGTAGAGAGAGTCCCTTCAGTGCGTTGTTATCTAATCCATTCCACTTGTTCATATAGAGAACGCCCACATCACTGAAACTCCAGTCCATGTTCTCCCTGCGACCTTACTTGCACTCGGTACCTGCAGTGTGTGTGTACCTTGAAGCACACAGAGCTGACTAGAACAGCACGAGGAGAAGAACGTGAATGAAGAATGGATATAAGAAAGTTTTTCAAGAAAGTAAGTATTCATCACTGCTGGTAGTAACAATTAGTTAGCTCCAGCCCCCAGCTAACAGCAGAAAGTCCCATGTATTTAATGAACCAAGTGCTCCCTGTTTGACAAATAAAAACCTAGCTTGCACACCAGTGGCGTCATTAGGCCAATTTTAGGAGGGCTGAAGCCTTAATTCAACTCATTGTGTTTCAATGTATCTTGAAGGGTCAGGCAGAAGGAGATGCTGAGGGAGAAAAAGATCAACAGGCAAGGTGAAGTCAGAGAGAGCAAGGGGATCCAGAGATGGATGAAGAGGCAGAGGAAGATCAAGTTATCACAGAGAGAGAAGGAGAGCAAACAGACCAAGAGAGTGAAAATGATGAAGCAGCTGCAGCAACTCACTCCACTACAGGGTTTGATTTAGGTGACAAAGACACAGAGCCCAGACAGATAAAGCTGAAGAGCTACCCACAAGATAGTTTTGGTATGCAGAAGAGAGCATTTCACCACAGCTGGTTTGAAAAGCACAACTGGTTAGAATATTCAGTCACCCAGAATACAGCTTTCTGCTTCACATGTAGAGTGTTTGGCAAAAACATCAAACATGATAGTTTGGTCAGTCGTGGTTGCAAGAACTGGAAGAAAGCTTTAGTCATCTTTGGCAAGCATGAGATGGCACAAACACATAAGGACAGTGTTGTTGCATGGAAAAGCTACGAGGCAACTAGCAAACAGGGAAACGTTGCACAGATGATAGCATCTGCAAATGTGAGTGAGATAGTAGAGAGAAGAGAGTATCTCAGGCAGGGCTGGACTGGGACCAAAAAAATGGCCCTGGCATTTTTGGCCATGGCGGCCCACCATGATTATTTATACGATATGTGGAGGCACAGGACATACCAGAGGACATAGGTGTAAAGTAACGGATTACATTTACTCACGTTACTGTAATTGAGTAGTTTTTTGCTGTACTTACTACTTTTTAAGTCGTTTTTAAAATTTGTACATTTACTTT